CCCTTACCCCATATGCGCCGATGTCAGACTTTGCGATTGGAGCGATTTTGCACCAATTGCAGGAGCGACGGATCGCTTGAGCGATGCGAGCGACGGGAGATTTACGAACTGATGGCGCCGAATTATCGTTGGTAGGCGGTGTAAATCTCCCGTCGCTCGCATCGCTCAAGCGATCCGTCGCTCCTGCAATTGGTGCAAAATCCAATCGAAAAGTCTGACATCGGCCATTGCGTGTTCTCAGGCAGGCTACCATCCCCACTGCGGTTACAAGCTCAAAAAATAATAACCTCACAATACTTATACGATCGTTTTTGCAACATATCTTTGACTTCTATGTTTTGATTTAAGTCGGAAGCCGTGCACTTGAGACCCTACCTGAAGGCAAAACTAGTGTAAGCCAATAACGTTGAAATGTGGATCAAAGGGGGCCAAATCGTGCATCTGTGAAACAAGAAACAAGCAGAATGGTCCAAAGCCCAAGAAACGGCACCCTTTCCTCCCCTTGGGTTCAAATTGAGGCAAGTCAACCATGGTTATCTCAGTTGCAACAACTAGCATCTCGTGCTCCTACAGTTCGTTAAACCGTCCGATGTCAAATTTGCATTGTCCCTTAATCCCCAATACCAAAATCTAAAGTAATACAACAGAATTTGGCGTGGTTTAATATATGGGAAGGAGAGGTACTTATAAAGCCTCACAGAAAACACTACGTGCAATTACACGGCCGACTTATCATGGCACGTCAACGGAATCGATGAGCACCACTAGTGTTTTGACCCTATAATACGCAAGTGTGAGCACTAAATATAATTCTTCACTCCTTAAATATGGCACAATTCTACTGAGATGAAAGGGAAGGCTAAAAGAAAAAGTTTTCGAGGGAAACGGAAATAGAACTCGCTAGCACCTCGGAGCAGGGTGAATATCGGTCGAGGAAATCCTCGACAGGGGGGTCGTACCTGTTGGGCTGGTCCATGGGGGGTCGTACTCTTGGGGGTCAGTAACAGAAGTGGTATCATGGTGCAGATAGGTAATAGGGTATAGCGCAGCAGAAAATGAAAACATCCGAAAAAAAACATGATATTAAATTTTCTTTGCAGGTTCAGTCGCTCCATTCCTCCACCTTCATGAGAAGGGCGTATTTGAAGGCAGTACAAAGAATGAAAGTGCATCCCCGCAAAGAAGAGTGCCACATGTGCGCACGCGCTGCAAAGGCACCTCCTCCTGCCTATCACTCGCTCCTTCTCCCTTAATACCTCGCTGAGAATGACGCTGTTGTTAGGGACCCTGTCGGAAAAACGACAACCGTGAAGAAAAAGCGCTGGGCAAATGAAGTTGTTTTTTAGGTTACAGGAATAGCACAACACACTATGTCTACTACAATACAGTTTCGTTCGAAGGTCCCCATCATATAACACCTTTCAATCGATTCTGCAACTGTGAGTGGAGGAGGGATGCATGGCTTATACCAATACCAAATCGGATGATGACGATTGCTCCTATTCTTATTGTTTGCGTTCAAAGATATTGTTCTAGACACATTCCGAGTGTTGCCAACGAGTCACACTTGCAATGGTGAATGAGGGAGCGGATTTCCAGGTGGCCGGATCCGTCCTCGATAGATCCTCGACGCAATTATCTCTTCAACCAAAAAGCTGTAGAAGAAAACTAAACAGACCATCAGGAAGCGCAAACCTTCCGCTTTCCAAAACTATCTTCCCTTTTTCAGGATCTTACAATATAAGAGATATATTGCTCTTGAAGTGGCAAAAACTCGCGTGAAAATTTCAGCCTCCTCGACATTTACTCGACGAAATTTGAGAGACCCTATCTTTCTGCAAGGAAGGCTTCCAGAGCAATTTCGATGCTTGTTGGAAACGCGAAATCCAGCTCTATCTAACTCTACCTCAAGCTGCTTCAAAGGTTGTGAAATGGAGGAATGCAACCTTTTCATCGAGGGTGTAGATTCGGACGTTTTTTTTTGAAATTTCGGCAAATCTGACCCAGTGACAATCGCGCCGCAGCTGCCGTTGAATCGGCCTTTGATACACTCGGCTGTTTTGATATACTCAAGCAAGAATCAAGATTGAATCGCAACCCCGTGTCTTCAGGATTTCTGTGCGTTTCTGAACGAACCTCGCCTTGAGGTCACACAAAGTTAATGCCTCTTTCCTCGAGTCGATATTTCAGTATGTACACAAAAGTATGCAGCGATGGAAGACGTGCATAGATGACAAGATGAAGCGTCCTTAGCATTATTTTGCATTTTTTTTGAATTTTTTTGATTTTTTTGATTTGTTTTGCAGGATTTATTTTAATTGAATTAATTTGCTCTGTTAGAGGGGGTCGTGCCAGGATCTCGATTTCGGGGGGGGGGGGGGTCGTACCTCTGCGACCACGTACTCGACACGATTTTCACCCTGTCTCGGAGTACAGGCAATTCATAGTCGGTGATTCGATCGTAACGATCGCAGCATCGCGTAACGGTTAGATACGCATCGATCTTTCAATCCTTGGACACATATGACGATCGATACGCATCCAAGCGATCGTTACGATCGGACGACCGACTATGAATGCGCCCTCCCTCCGCATATCTCCTCCAGCTGAGGTTTAGTCCTGAACAGAGCGTTACCTTAATGCAGAGTTGTCCGCACCCCCAGCGATAAATAGCGTTCAAAATAAAAAGCATTCGAACTAATGTCAAAAAGAATTTCACTGCGAAACGATTTTCAAATCAGGTAGAATGAACATCACATCACAGACGTCGAAGAAGTGGTGTAGAAACGAACGTGGATCAAACGTACGCATCTTCGCGTAACGCAGCGTTCACGCCGCAATTGCACACGTAAGGTGTGCAACAAGGTTACAAGGCTTCTGTCAACCAAAGGGTGAGAGCGTAGCTGGAAAAGCACACACTTTGTGTCTTATTGGGACTAAGCCTTTGAAGGAGATAAAGAAAGAGGAGATGCTGTGATAGTGTGCACTTGTGAGAGCTCCCAGACATCACTACAAAACGCTGAACCGCCAAGCCTCACGGTTGACAGAAGTCCTGAGACCGTGCAACAAAAGCACCTCTCTACATAAGGCTTACGCACGAATATCTTACTCACCATTACTTTACATGTAAATGAAAATGAGGGCCTATTCCGAAATGGAGAGGGCGTTATGATGCAGTTTTTCCAGAAAGCTAGGGTGATTTCAAGCCAGGGGGATGTAGCCAGTCCACGGGTGTGGGAGGTGAGGGCAATCACGTGACGTGCGTGAAAAGCTGGATGATGCCCCCCCCCTAACTGGAATAGACCCGAAAACGCTAATGTATGCGTAAATTCTGAACTGCAACTTCTAACTATTGCTCTATACTTTAATACCACCACGTCCCCAGATATACAACCTTCCTCTTAACAAGAAAATACGTCCCACTATCGAGAAACTTCGATCGGCACACGCGGTACTGATCAATTTTTACGGCTCCTTAGTCATCAGGAAACGAATCGCTTGAAGTATTATAACTGGACACTGTCCTAAACGACAAATGCTTCATGAAGCAACAATGCTAAAACCTTTATGATTGTATTCGTCCATATTCTTCGATGGATCCTGTGATCTAATTGCAAGTCTTTAGCAAAAAAGGCGCAATACACAAGTCTAGTCAACCACTGATAACCGAATACACTTTAACAAGCTTTCTACTTCTTTCCCAGAAGTTTTTGTAACAGTTTAAACACATTCGCACGTCAGAAATAATCTCAGAGTTTCACGGTGATTAACTTGACGGTATCTGGTTCACCGTTAGATAACCGTCATATTCACTCAAACACGACAAATTGCACAAGAGTACAACTAAGAAACGGTCAATTTGAAAAAGCTCACTGTGGTCGGTATGATGTTGTTCAATGAAACGCCAATGTACTCCATCTCACGACGGAATCTATCCGCGGCCGCTTTCCTTCTGCAAAACATCGTTTCTCATCGGTGATTCCGCAAGAGCATAGGAATGACTCACAACTTTGAAAGTAAACATTTTAAACCTACAGCTACCATTTCTAATAAATGAAGACCTTGAACGTACACCGGAAACATACCAATTTAGCAGGAAATAAAGCCTGCACTGATTGAAAACGGTCACCTCTGCACTTACTTAGGCTCTTGAACTTCTTTGGGTTGTAATTGCCTCTGATGAGTTTTTATGCGTTTATCCATTCTTACTTCAACACAAGGTTTCGCATCATCAACTATTGAGGGGCTATCAAATCCACTCAAATAATTCTGAGCCATTCAATCTGAAACTCCTACATTACAGGACTAGAAGGAACTCCTTCGTGAAAAGCATTCAAAAAACGATTCTTGGGACGACGGAGAGTTCATGTGCATGAAGACTGAACTGAATAACAACCGTAATGACAAGGACACTTGTCTATTGATGAACACACGAGCCACAGCAAATAGTATTCGAGTAGACGGGTTTGCTCGATTCGCCCACTGACAAATGTGTTTTTGCGTATTGCTTACAATAGAAGGGCGCGCAAATGACGAAATAGTACTCGGTAGGAAGACAGAGGCGACTACGTAACAAACGCGTTGGCATTCTGCCAAACCACCAGATGGGCACGGTGCCAAATACGCGTGATCGCACGAAAAACAGAATCATCACATGGCCGTGCCTTCCGCTCTGCAAGAACTACACTCGACCTTCTAACAGCCTGAGTGGAAAATGCTGTTGCTGCTTATGAATAATCACACAGCGGCATGGATGTCATCGATAGCTCTGCACGGCGACGCCAAGCTCATAAGGTCAGACAGGCGTCAAGCTCGTGCCCTTTCAATTAGAGGAAAGCATAAAGCGCACATTTGCAGCCAGTGGGGCGACGTGATGGAAAGAACACATGCAGACTTGCAAACGGCGAGCATGACTCACTGCTCGCCTTTCACTACACTGAAGATTTAGCGAACAAGGCTCACTCAGTTCGTTTGCAAAAGATGACGCATTTCATAAGTCACTGATCCAGAGTTACAGCTGACAATGAAACTGACTTCAAAGGTGATGCAAACCAATGCATCTATCCGCTCGTTTGCACAATGAAAACTCAACCGCAAATCAACAACAGACCCGGAAAGGTTCATACCCAAGCACGTAATCAACGTAGCAATGTCACCTCCTTCAGACGACAAGTTTCTTAACCAATCTGGGCAAGAGGATGAATCACTTACTTCCTGCTGCTGATGGTATTCATGCAAGAAAATCAACGAGCAAACGTTCATATTCTCTAAATAGGTCGATGTTCAAATATTCCGTAGGAACTGCTTCTTCATTACAGTCCTCAAACAAGGAATCGAACAAAAATGGTATCGATTGCGTTCAGCCCTTTTTTCTCCATCAGGACAGACAGCACGTGGGCGTGTTTATTTCTACACGACTGGTTTCTTGAACGGCGAAGTGTGTGCACAAAAAGAGCGATAACACTCTATGGGGAGACTCTGATCCCTCAAATGCTCCTCAAACAAGGAATCGAACAAAAATGGTATCGATTGCGTTCAGCCCTTTTTTCTCCATCAGGACAGACAGCACGTGGGCGTGTTTATTTCTACACGACTGGTTTCTTGAACGGCGAAGTGTGTGCACAAAAAGAGCCGATAACACCTTCATGGGGAGACCTCTTTAACCCCTTCAGATGCCCGAAAAAAATGCCACATTATGCAAGACTCAAAGAAAAAAATCAATCTGAATGACTCCAACCATAACCAGACTTCAACTTACTTTTTCTCTTCAGCAGCTAATTTCTTTTGATGGATTACGAGAACTTCTTGCACATACGTTAGACATTCAATAAGCATTCCATGCTCGCATTTTGGACAGTACCATTTGCCACCTGGTACGAACCTATAATAGGAAATCGCTCCGAACATTTCACTGGCATCTTTGCAACATCTTACTAACATGCACGATAACGATCACAAAAAGTATCGTTTTTTTTACTGACAAGAATTAGAAAACTCCTTCGCACTACTCGAATAGGAAACTACGTTAATTTCATGAAAATAAAATAATCTTCGGCGCCAGATAGGAGGCATCTCCTAGGACTAAGCTTGGGAGGGGACAGGAACTTCGAGGAAAATGAGAATTGCTCACGCACGCTGGAGTCTCTCCTACCCCCGTTTTCAATGAGGTTTAGTCCTCACGAGAAGAACATGATTAACGTGGTTCCAAACGCACTGCCACTGCAGTGCCCCATCATCGTATATCTTGCGATAGAGTCCAACATTTTTTACAGGATATCGAACCGAAAGAAAAGCTCTCATTTGAGAGGCTTTTTTTCCCTAAATCCCTGGGTGTCGCAAGCACTCTCTAACACCTCAGTAGAGGATACGTTCATAAAGGTCCTCAAATGAAGCGGCTGAGCTGGATTTCGGCGAGGATGCGATTTTGAAGGAGTGCTTCAAGCAACGGGCGCTGTTGTCGTCGGGGAGAAGGCACGCGTGGGCAGACTGAGCCTAGGAGAAGGGAAGGAATTCGAGGAGTACGGAAATTGCTCACACCCCTTTCCTAGTCCTCCCTAAAGTTGAGTTCTAGAGGGACCGACAGAGAGGAGGGGAATGATGGCGCTGTGAGCTCTCCGCACAACAATGCTCCCCCCCCCATCCGACGACATCAGCGGTTCAACACACTTAAGCACGATTCTTAAATGTGAATTGGTAATGCTCGACATACTTCTCCATGACGCCTTTCCGCCCGCAAGTCTCGTCACCTTAGCTGGCATGCAACACCCCTCGGTCGACAAAAAATCCTCTCAAATTATTCGCTTGTTTTTTTTTCAAGCAACAGTTTCTTTACTTTCAACGCTTCTTGATTTTCACGTACACATACTCTACAAACACTTTTCCGGAAATTTCTGATTGGGAAAGCGAATAAAATTCAAAAGGACTCCTTTCCATCACCAGCCGGGGAGTGCTAGATACGGCTACAGATTACTTGACCCTCTAATTTACACTCACTGCTCGCTTTGCAAATTTCCTTCTAGAAAACTGCCCCTTCCGATCCCTTAGCTGAGGCTCAATTCGAGAACTTCTCGAAAATCGCTTCTCGAAGCTGAGGTAGTTGTTACGCTTGCCTAATACTTCCCTAAGCTCCTTATCCTACTACGGATAATCAGCTCTATCCCAAAGTGCAGGCGTTTCAATACTAACTTCTAATTGAACACCTTGTCCTCAGATGAGGCAAAAGGATAACTTGTTAGGCTTCTTTTGTTTAGAATAATTACCATTTACTCTTTTCCTACAATTTTTTTTTGCTCAGAGATGCGCGATTTTTAGTATGGCCAGGAAACCAACGATCATAGTGAACGGTAAGCTCAACCAGGATTTTGAGCACAAAAGAAATGAAGCACAAAAAGAAAACTGGTGCATCAGAAATAATTCAATAATAACAAACTTTCCAATAAATGAATTAAAGAGTACAGCAAGATTTGAAAAAAAGCAACAAGAAAAGAACTGGAACTGCCAACAATACAGAAGGAAAGTGGAGAAAGTAATAAGAAAGAAGAAAGAAAACAAAAAGGCCGACAGAAGCACTTTAACAGAAAATACGAAAGAAATAAGACGATCGCATAAACGGAACAACATACCACAGAGGTGGTTTCAAGCATGTCGTATGCCAAGCATCGTCACAATTGTCACAAAGAAGCAACTGCAATTGGAACGTAGTATAACCTTCAATGTGATATACTCACTCAAAAGCAGTAAACACTCTTGGAAAAAATCAAATTTTTGCAGCTAAGCGCAATGTGGAAAACGGAATGAAAACCCACAATGTCTTCATTATCACTCAGTTTGCAGGAGCCACATGCGAAATCACCTTCAGCTCTACGCCGCACTTCTTCTTCCTATAAGTATTGTTTAAAGAAGTCTTAGATGTTTTACAAGAAACGCACGTCTTCATCTGCAGACTCGTCATCGTCGTCCACATCCTCGACGATTTTCTTCTTTCTATGCCGCCGTTTCCTAAAATTATTATTTCACTCAGTGCAACTTCAAGGTACTAATCTTATCCAACCCCGTGGATTTTCGTGGAGTTTTTGGCTTAAACTCATCATCACTGGTGGCTGATCCATCTATTTCCGCATCTGAAGTACTAGCGGATCCCCCCGAATCGTCCGAAGCAGGAGTAGAAGAGTCCTTAAAGCAGAAACAGTAACTAGCCGAAGCTAAAGTAATAAGTTGCGCTTCGTTTATATACAATTAAAAAACATCCCACCCTTTTCACATTCTCCTCCTTCGCTTCCTCGTGTTGTTCAGCAACGTTTGGCTTCTTTTCATGGGTTTTCCTTGAGGGAGTGATGTATTTTCTAATGTTCGTCTGCGCTTTCTGTGAAGCAGTTCGTCGAGGTAAAATGCGACGATCACTCTACAAATGTAATAGACTTAATAAACGAACAAATAATTGAAAAATAAGTATGAATACTCTCGCACCTCCTCAGTTTCCGCTGGCTTTTCTTCCTCTTCCGGGACAACTTCCTCTTGCGGTTCTGAGGGATTATCTAATCTAGCATTACGCCTGGTGCGCCGTTCTTCTTTCTCTTTAATCATGGATTCCCTCATTTTCTGAAAGCACATTCATTCTACTAATAAAGATGTATATCAAACCAGCTCTCACCTTAATTGCAGCTTCATCGAGGAACACGTCCACATAAGTACCCTTTTTTGTAACCATATGTATGGCAGGTTCAGCATCACCTTCAGCGGGCTTATTCTAAAATAATTAAGTACAGTGCTGAACTTTCCGAGTTCGAATGAACAAATTAACTCACAAACTCGCGCTTATCATTTGGATTCTTCACATATCCTAGATCCTCGTCCTTCAATTTGGTTATAAGGTTTTCCAAATCGGGCATATCACTAAACAGTATTTAAAGGCAGATTCGATAAAATTATATAAAACCACCAATCAAACACAAGAATTCAGATCTAAGAGCTCTGGGAGGGAGTGAAGAACGAAAAAAGCTCTTGATGAAAGGCTAAAACATTTCAGCATTTCGATCAACGCGATAAAGTTGACTTAATCTTTTTTTTAACAAGGCCCGATGCAATACTGTACTCATGACGCGTGCCAGGCTAGGATCTCAAGCCTAAGTAATAAATTTACAATAAATCTCAACAAATACTTCTTACACTAAACAGAAATATGGCATCAGAATAGGAGAGGAAGATGTAAAAGAAAAACAGGCCTCGCTCCACGGGGTTAACGCGACAAAAATTCTAGAAATTGTTGTGATATGAAGAAAGATAAGAATTATCAACTTTTCTCTTTGAAACCAACACAGTATCCTTTCAAGATTGAGCTTTTTTATTGAGCTTACGCTTCTGCTTGCTCCTCTTCTGACTATTCAGGCTCTGACGAAAGCGAACATGCCGAAACGTAAGCGTAATATAAAAGCTCAATCTTGAAAGGCTTCAACAATCATTCCTACTGGAGTAATCATGCCAAAATTGCAAGAAGGGCCGAACATGGAGCACTGTGTCCACTTCAGGATTCAAAGATATGGGACTGAAGACTTTACACGAAGACAGATCATGTTCGCAAAGACGAAAAAAATTGTCGAAAATGGTAAATCTATATGTGATACGACAAGGGAATTGCAATAAAGTCAATCAGTTACCGAGCAACCAATGTCCAGGAATATCCACTTTCGTCATCCTGTTCTGTAGTGTAAAGACGAATGCCGTACTTCGAATCAATCTGACAGTAGTATGCCAAACCGTTTTTGTCAACACCGGTGACCATATCCCTCATATCCATTGCACGTAGAGCCGTTGGAATCTGAATTCGATCGAGCAATTATAAACAACTGAGACACAGTACAAACAGCATCGATAGTTCAATAATGAAGTACACAAAACGAAAATATAGCAAGCTCACACTCTCTCTTAGCCGAAGATTGTGGTCCAGCTGCAGTTCACATAAAGTCCTAAGGATTTTAAGCTTACTCAATATTGACATATGGACATATCCGTACCTATAAAGCACCACGTCAAACAGAGAAAAAACTGAAAGCTACACGATGAAAAACTTTATAGGAGCAGAAATTAGCAAGTATGACCTACGTTTCAAGCTGTCTCTTTTCAGAGGACAGTAATCCGGTGCTGTTGAGGTACTTGAGAAGGCATTTCTCGAAGCTTTCATTACTTACAGTCTTCACAATCGAACGACGCAACAACTTCAAATGAAGATCAACAAGCTCTTTTGACACTGAAAAAGGTTTAAAAGAAAAAACAAAATAATTGGTGACCGCTATAGCATATATGCCCGATACCTCTGCCATCCTCCAACGTAGTAAACATGTTTTCCAACTGACAAAAGCTTACTGGTTCCATTTCTGAACGAAATTAATATCAACGGTTCAATGCAGGAGAACGAAAAGTGCTTACTCATGAGTGTAAAGAATTTATTGATGAAACTGCAAATAACGGCGAAATCGGGATCGCATCGTAGTTGTTCTGCATCGATCTTCAATTCGAAAGCTTATTATAAAGATTTTAAAAAAGCTAAAAAATCAATGCAGCCTAAATTCACGAGATTCGCGACCGCGACACGAGGACACTGGGAGTTTATACATAGCCAGCTTTGCTACACCATGCAAAGCGATTTGCTTAGGGAACCCACGATCACTACCCATATGCACCGTCCACGTGCGCGCTTCTGCCTTTGATCAATCAGGGACGCTTTTACAAGATGCGGGGTGTAGTGGTGGCATGTGAAACCTAGCGGAAAATGTCCTTTTTGTTTCAAAATAGACTAAGCCTAAGGTGTGGCGGGAAAGACATCACAGGGTGAACCATTTCCACTTTACCCAGAGCTCCTGCTCCCTCCTGGGCTTAATCCTAGAAGATGCCCCCGTTATTGCAATAGCGCCAAATCACATACCTACAAGAACTAACAATGCCAATGGACAGATCGAGAGACTACCTGAGGAGCTGCCGACGGCTTGCGGATGACGCCTGCCGGCCCTGGTTGGTCTCCGTCACTCATGTCAACATCGTCCACATTAGCATCAGCATCAGCCGCAGTAGATTCAACACTGGGAGCTGCTGTGGTACTTTCCCCATCAACAGTACCAGTTCCGCAGTTGGCAACAGTAGAACATTTTTCTACGTCCGACGACGATTTGTTTACATCACTCCTTGCTTCTGACTTCGAAGGTGGATAATAGTCGCGAGCTTCTTCACCTAACTAAACACAGGAAGCTTTTCGATTATATCGGGATCTACAAGCAAATCAAAAAAAATGCGACTACAAAAAGGAAGTGCAAAAGAAGTATTTTGAAAAAAAAAACGGTAAAAAAAGAAGAATCTCGGCAACACAGAAAATATGTTAAGTGCTAAATATCTGCGAAATAATCTCAATTTCGCTAGATTGAGAAGGTTTGATAAGGGACGAAATAAAAGCGGAATAAAACTAAGCGGAATGGATGATATGAGAAGTAAAATTTTGTTGACCAACCCTCATGCCGTCCGGTTTCGCTTCGGAATCAGCCGTATGGACCAGAGAGGTGGGCTCGTTGTCGGATCCACCTAGCTGTTTAGACGCTTTCTATAATATTGAGAATTAAATCAGTTGCAAAAATAATCCATAAAGTATTCGCAACAACCACTAAAAACCACAGGCAAGCGAAAGACTCACATTCACGGAAGAATCACTATTAATAATACTAGTTCGAACGTTCGAATAAGCATCACTTTGAATACTGCTCGGCGGATTTTCCGACGATGAACTCATGTATAAAGGAGAAAAAATGGCTTGTAAAAAGTCACATACAGGAGGATTTTACAGAATTTCACTCTGAAAAAATGAAAATGCTTGAAAAGGAAGGGTGTATCGAACAAAGACATCAAAACAGAATACAAATAAAATTAAATTCGCTCCATGTGAAATTGTAGAGTCTATCTCGACCAGCAAGGAAACAAAGAACAAAAAATAATCACGACTCTTTTGCACATTCAAATCGCCATGAACACTAGCAAAGAAAGGGAAGTCGCTCCAATATCACAATATCGCTAGCAAAATAACAGAAACAGTAAAAAACAAATAAAACCACTATGCACATGTAACTGCAATGAAAAAAAAACAAACATGTCTAATCTCAGACGGGATGTTTCTGGATTGTCTGATCCTTCTGTAAAATATTAAAAGAAGACTTCGAGGAATTACATGAAAATTACGCCATGACTTTTGGCTAATTAATTTAAAACAAGAAAAATTGGTATGTTTAAAAATCGCATCAGAAAGCAGAACTAAATTCTAAACATATCTAATCAGCAACGCTGCGTAATTTTACACAAAATTAATGAGAAAGTATAAAATAATGCAATTCTTCCAGCAAACAATTGTTACACCGTGATGATTCGCATCTGGTAGAAAATGATGGAAAGCAAAGCCTAGCATTGAGCGAGGCAATGGTCGCGCAGTTCTCCGCGCGACATCACGCAAAAACTCTCGCATCCGGCATCATTCTGCTTCTCTGTGTCGACCTTTCGTATGCTCTTTTCGCCCACTCTCACTCGTCTGTCGTCTGGTCGTTGCGATCGCGATGAATGCAAACCGTAGCGTTCGAGGCTTTCGCGACCTTCGCATAACCGTGTGCTGGCGCGTCGTTCGATTAACTAATGCTATTGCAAGAATTTATTCAATGAATTATTTTAGTGTAAGGTATGACTACTTGGCGCGGAAGATAGTCAATTTCTCGGAGAATTGGCTTTTTACATGTAGAAAATTAGCGGAATCCTGCTCAACCATCAATGCAGGTCTTAATCAGAAAAACCTGACTCATAATCGGAGACTATGAGCTAACTTCAGTCTGGTACAGCTTGTACCGTATTCCAAAACACCCGTGAATTCTATTGCGGCACTCACAGATTATCACCGATTTTACGCCGGGTACAGTGCTAGGGCGCAGCTTTTCATCTGCGTGGTTGATAAACTATAGAATTGAGAGAAATTTCAGCAAATATTGGAGCAGATAGTGAAAGAAGGCTAGAAGTCTTTCGCAGTGTGAGAAATACCTTTTCCTTACGCTGAGGCGACGACTTGTTAGATAGAGCTCTGTGGGACAATGGCACCCTGAAATTATAGCTCGTAATTCAGAGATGGCGCTGGCGTTTAAGAAGAGCACTGAACACTTTCGCAAGTTGAGCTACGAAAGAACAAAGACGTGCTCTCAAGCTGGGGTATTAGTTGAATCAGAAGTATATTTGGGAGCGCAGAGGGAAGAGGCGCCACTCATACAGGAACACTCCATGCACCAAATCCTTCCAACGTAAACTAAGCGTCCCACCTCTGGATGATTCCTGTATAAAAGCAAAAGGATAAAGCATTTGCCGTTGATCAATCCCTTTTTGGGATGCGGCACGCATTCTACTTCCATTTGTACATTCGTAGTGGCGTTTGAATGCGATGTGGCCTATACAATGACTTGCGGGGGCCAGCCGATGTACAAGTCAGTGTTTTTTATCCTCCCAGACAAGTCTGGTACCAATTACCGACCCCGGAGGGATGGAAGGCTTGGTTGGCCCGGGCGACTCACGACCCAGGATTTGATCCCGGACCGCTCGCGTGGTAAGCGCGCCACTTGTCACTACACCACTTCCGCCCCCCCCTTATTACTCGATTCCTGTATAAGCGACGAATATTCCGACTCGAACACTGATCGAATTTAAAATTCTGTATTTAAGCTGAATAGGCAGCTTGGTGCCTTTACAACTTCCAAAAGAAGCCGGCTGCGCGGCGTATCCCAAAAGATGTTGGTCGATGTGGCAGATGGAGGGAGATCACTCCTTTTTTGCTCCCCCCTTGTGTATGAGCGCAAGAAAGTGGAGATCAAAGAAAAGCAAAAATTCAGTGGGGACCAAAAAACACTTTTTTCCTGGTATTCCCGCAAAGCCGCTGAGAAAAAGTGATAGTCAGGTTTATGCTCCACGCTTGTGTCCCTGTAAAATGCAAAATCGTTTTGAGAAAGCATACCATGCTTTGGAAAACCTTCGGAGGTCAGAGGATAGAGTGCTTGAACGCTAGTGAGCCATTCCAGCAAAAATCGGACAATGGTAAGTCCCATGGCGAAACTCTGTCTCTTCCTCCCTAAGCTAAGGGAGGAGAGTATCGAGGAAAGGAAGGCGTCCCTTTCCCCTGGAAGGATGGCATACGGCCCTGGTACGAGGGGCATAAGATTTTCGAGCCGAAAAAGACAATTGTGATAGTCAGGACACAGAATCGCAAAAGCAGTACTCCATGTGAGAGCAATGCTCGAGCTTTGGAGGCGATGACAAAACAAAAAGAATGAGAAGATTTCACAGAAATAGCAGGTGGAGTTTCTTGGGGCCATAAAACCATCACTTCAAGCCGATCTACTTCGTTCTGTATTTTCATCGAAATAAAGGCTTATCAAGGATGCCAACCAATAAATAACTTGAAGATCACAGTAGATCAAAAAATGTGATCGGTGATCGAATGATATCATTTTCTTTTTGCTCGATCGATTGATGTCATAATCTTTAACCGTATCACATTAAGCAACGATGCATCAAACCATTCGTTTGAACCTGGACTTTTCTTTTCTTTGCTTTCCTCTTTTTCTTTCTTTCCTTTTTCCTTTTCCGTTTCTCCCGGATATCCTGCAAATGTTTTTTGTTTCCACTAGTTTAGTGCAAATTTTTTGAACTTCTTAACCAAAGTTTTTGCCAGAGTCGCTGGATACCCAGTAGATTCATTTTAAATCGATAAATAGTCAACAAATAGAGAATTTTCGAAAAAAATTTAATCATATCCAATATTTATAAAGACTTGTCTTTTGTAACGTGGGACTCGTTTGATAAGTTTGAACAATCCTGTCTAAGCTAAGGAGGAAAACGTTGGGAACATCAAACCGCATTCGGTTACGACTACGATCCTGAATGGAAGAAGATTTTGGCTTGTTTTGGTGATTAACTGCTGTTTTTGGCCGCAGTTCGCCTTGCGAATGTTTCACAAGAATGCTGGGTTGTGAACAAAACTTTCGCCCCAGGACGGGACTCGAACCCGCACCTTTCTTACGGGCAAGTGCGCAACAAGTGACGCATTGCAATCCTGTTTAAGCTAAGAAGAAAATACAGTTACTACAATTACGACTGTACCTTCCGCTTACCGGGCCAGCATGTGGGCAGAGTCAACCCTGCGTTGCGCAGTTTTCAACGGCCACGTTGCGCAGTTTCGCCCGATTAGACACGTTCTCTCGCGCGAACATTCACACTCGCATGCTCGAGCCGTCTGTGTCTCCGCCCATACAGCGTGCGTTGAGGATCTCTCAACGTGCCGTTGCGAACTGCGCAACGCAGGGTTGACTCTGGGGGAGAGCGATCGTGATACCAACCATTTGGCCCGATGCCAGCGTAGGACA